GCACAAAAACGAACAGAACCATTAACCATTAGCAGCTTGTTCTCGAGACACCTACAGTAGACGGTTACATGCCGAAAACTTAAATTTTGATTTTCCGTTCTCCAAATCTCTCTCCTAAAAAACACGCCACCATAAACCAAAATCCTTTATTCCGTCCGTAAAGAAAGAATGGATGTGAATATACGTTTAAATTTGTTTGGATTTTTTCCCTTGAAAATGTAGCTGAGATATCTTTCGACGGTTTCTTTTCTGGCAATTTCCCACTCGTCAGTAAATAATAAAAAAAATATCAGTCAAAAAATTGCAACGTTGCAATGCCGTTAAGCCCAGTGAATTTGGCTCTGTCCACTCCATTTGGAACGACCATTGCACGCGGCAATCAGTGCGATTTCAAAATTGGTGACTTGCAGGAAAAAATTACACGAAATTACTCAATAGAATTACAAAAATATCGGCAACACTACATCGTGCAACAATGTATGTGACTGCTCAACGTCTTTGCTTCGTGAGAAATCGACATCTTTCAAGAGGACCGATGATAAAGTCAGGGCCAGTTTATCGAAACTAACCGTTCTTAAAAACTTCCGTTTACTCGTAATAACGCGGAATATTTTGCCCTCAGTTTTCATTTTGCCAACGCGAGGAATATGCAAATCTCTAGTTCAGAAATTAAAGGAAAAATAGAACAAATACAAAAATGAGGTTATCTGCGTCTAAGTTACTTTTAAGTTTTTTCGTATGCCCAGAAAAAATACACTTGAATCGCGCCCGAACAAGTCCCCCCTCTCTAAGTCAACTTGGAGCATGATTATATTCAGGGATTTATGGTGCGCGCGGGGGGGGGGGGGTGGTTAAATAGCTCAAAGGGGCTGATCTTAGTGGAAAGAATGTGTACCTGAATTTTGAAGTTTTTAAAAGTTATCAATATACAAATCGATTGCACTAATTTTTATTTTATTTTTACTTTTAATTTTTTTTTTGTGTGTAAAATCTCCCCCTGTATGCCTCAAAATTCCCTTCAGAAAAAAGGCCACTTTTTCAAATTCAATAGAGAATCAATTCTTCGGCCAAAATCACGTGGAGGTGGACATAAAACTCGACAATACACTTGAATTTGAATTTTAGAACTCTGACCCCCCGGGGCGGCCCCGAGGTATCTTTTCGAAGCTCGAAAACGTTAAAAATCGGACTCCATGTTTCATAACTATAAAGAGAATTATAAGAGAATGATACATCATAAAATTTTTCACATCAGCTGCACGCGGAAAATTTTTTTGCACATCTGTAGCCGTGCGATCTGGCAGAGGGGACTTGACGAAATCTTCACCTAAGATTGGATCGCATTTAGCAGAAAGTAACCAGCGCGATTGCAGTGTTTTCAAAATCAGGCAAATTCTTTTTTTCTTTTGAAAATACTCAAAATCCAGTAAATTTTACAAGATTGTTTTTTTTTTAAAACAAACAATTTTTGGACAAAAACTATTTGCTCTTCTGGGATATTTTTTTCGATGATTATGAAGAAGCTACATTATTACAACACTGTAATTGCGCTGGTTCCTTTTTGCTAAATGCGATCCAATTGTGATTTCGGTTATATTGATTTTCGAAATACAAAACATAGTTCGAGATTTTGTGCGATTTTTCCAATTTGAGTTGCCTTTCATTACTACAAACACGCAGCTGAACGGCATGCAACTGAAAACTAGCTGTAGTGCATAGCGCGGCGCTCAGCGATTTCTTAGGGAGACCCGGCTTAAGATGCTGACGTTGAGCATTATCAATGACCTTTGACCCGAGGCAAAATCACGGCAAACGATACTGCTCACGAGTGCTCGCAGTGACTGGCCGTTCTCACGTCCCTTCTTTGAGTCGAGGTCTTGGAAGACGACTTGTCTGCCGTGAAAGCGAAGAGAGCAGTAAGTGCATGCTGGGACGAACCTCGAGACACATAAAAGCACGTGCTAATCATGTCCCATGCAGAAATGTACTTACTGCTCTCTTCGCTATCATGGCAGTAGTAAGTGGCAGAACCGATGACTGTACCGGCGCAACCTCGACGAACTTGCCTTCTCGCCATTAGGTGTTCCGTGAATGATTAAAACCGTGCTAGTACGAAGGGGGTCGTTGGGTGCGTCTTATTCCGGTCATGTCAAAACATCGAATTTGCGGTTGGGTGACGGTTGGTTCCTGGTTCCATCCATGAAAAAAAATAAGCTATCGAAAATTTGAGGGCAAATTCGAGGCATTGATAGGTGACTCACGGAGCTATCGAAATCTCGGAAAATAATCAAATTGGTATTCATGTCGAATTCGCGAAAATTCGTTTTATCGATAGATAGGGCAAAAAAACACAACCCCCCCCCCCCCAAAAAAAAAAGAAAAAAAAGGAAGAAAAAATTGACAAGCGTTGAGAAAGGCACCCGGGGCGGGCGTTTATTTGGAACGAAAAAAAATCACACTTTTGACTCATGGGTTGTAGGGATGACGATTTTTTCGAATTCCTACATCGCTTTCGGGAAAACGATTTGATTTTCGGTAAAAAAAATCTATTCAATTTTAAAATCGGATGAAAATGATTGATTTTTTTCGAATTCAATTTTAAAACACTTAAAAACCAAAGTTCGGCGCCAAAAACAAAAATAGGTACTACGAAAACTGAACTTGAGATGAAACTCGGGTTTCACAAAACTTAGGCCTTATGTGACACATCAACGTAGGAAATTTCATTTTTTTTCAATAATTCGATTTCAACTCGAAAAATCGATTCCGATTTACAGAAGACCTCGAAAAATCTAGTCAGATTCTTTTTTCAGATTTTAAAAATTTTAATTTTGAAAGGTCCCACCAAAGTACCCTTACTTGGCGTGTAACGTGTAACAATAATGTTATGTATATTTTCGTGCTCGTTTTGATGCAATGCAATCACACATTTTCAGAACAATTGTTATTAAGGACCCAGCATTGTAGAATCAGTACTTCAATGGTATCCTAATGACAAACATTTTTGGTCTTACTCCAGAGAAAGGGAAAAAAAAATTAGTGTTTTCTTAGCACCAAAATGTAAACATATAATGAGAGAGAATGCAAAAAAAGGGAGTAATCTGGGACAAATAGGGAGACTATTTTTTCCTGAGAGATGCAAAAGTCAATTTTCTTAAGTCAAAGTGACCTACTTTTTGGTCCCCTGCAAGGGAGTGGGAGAGGGGGCGACCTTAACTTCTTTTGCCAAATGACAACCCCTGTCTTGTGATACATTTTGAGAGAGGGTATAACAAAAGAAAACTTTTTGTGCAAGTGTAGGCGTATTTCAGCCACCTATCAACAGATTTGCTTCATTTTTTAGGTATAATGGTTTTTCGGGAGCACAGAACCCAAATTTGACAATATTTTTCCATAGAACTCAATCCTTTTCAACATACTTGTACAAGTATGTTGAAATTGTTTTATGTAAATATTTACACATGAATATGTTTCTCTGGAACAAACTTCCGAGCTCAAAAAAGCTCTTGAAGTTGAGATTAGGATAGAGGGGATCCAGGTCCCCTGCGCTATGCTGAGAGTCCACCTCTATATCCCGTCAAACTCTGACAGAAAACAAATATAGTGGAAAAGTTGCCGCATTATTTTCAAACACCGAGGCTGAAACAATGACAACCCTATTCACGTATTTGCTCCCAACCTTTGCCATTTTGACTAGGTATGGCGTAAGGTAAAGGAGGAGTGTGTCTCAGTGTATTGTGGCAGATTCCCTCCTTTATGGCTTCAACTTTAAGAGTTTTTTTTGGGGCTTGGGGGTTTGTCTCTGAAAAAACCAGTGGTACCATGGTGTTTCTCACAAAATTGTACACAAGAAAAAGTACTTAACTCGCAATTGTGTGACGGACTTAGAAGCTCCATTTTTGGAGATTTTTTTTCTTAGTCTTTTGCTTCTTGATCAGGAATATGCGTTAAAAATGGAGGAAGGTCAATTCAATTGAGGAAGGAGGACTAAAAACCTCATACTTACATGCCAGGAGAACCTAGTTGAGCCTGCTTCTAGCAAGTGTTTTTTTTATTTTTATTTTTTTTTAAAATTAATTTTGAAAAATGCTTATTTCTTATGTTTACTTACCACAAATCAATTGCATACAGTTTTTTAAGGAGGGGGGGGGGGGCTTGTAAAAGATGGATCAGTTCATTCCTCTGGTCTATCTTGTCTAACCAAGACAATGATAATGTAATAAGCTTCACTGCTGCTTGTCCAAGTAGCAGCTGCTCAGAAAAACAAGCATACCTGCACTTTTACTGGCCTTTTTTTCAGAGCCTTCCACATAAAAGTTTCATGTATATTTCTAAAGATCCGCTATAAAAGGGGCTACAATGCAAATGGCTGCTTCAATTTCCACTTACATGAGACAGGCGTAGATTCCCAGACTTATTCATACACCTACATGGGAACTACCGATCAAAGTCGATAGACCTTCATCAGTCCTTTGGGAAAGCTGAGTGTGATAATCACTGCAAAATGGGGGCGAGGGCTGTCTGCATTGCAGACTGATTCCCCCTATTTGCTTGTCCCACTCTGCTGTTCCCTTGATCCGATTACATAGGTCTTGTGCAAATCGGAAAGATCAGGGGGGAGGGGAACTGTGGAAGGGAGCAACGCAAATCGGGGAAAAGTTTGGAAAGCAGTGAAACAGCAAATTTGAAGAATTTGTCGCCAGGTTGGAAAATTCCAAAGAACATCTTGTTAGCGGACTGACCTAGGTCTATCGACCTTGCCGCAAGATCCATTCAATTAGGAAAAATAGGCATACTTAAAAAAACTTAGAATGCAGTGCTACTGTCCTTAATTCTGTTCTAGGGCTTCTGATTGGCCAGCGGTTCAGTTTCAGCTTGTTCGGGGTGACGTATTTGGGTGTGTAAGAGCCGAACACATTCCGATTTCTTTCAGCTACCCAAACAACTTGCCTGAATAAAAATGTGAATTTGTTTCAAAATAAGTAAATATTGTTACTTACAGAACGTTACGATTGAAGGATACTCTGGCGCAACATTTCCTTGAAATACCAAGAACTACCCTGACTCCTACAGGTAAATTTCGGCTCTGCATTGACATGATGAGGTTGAAAAGAAATGTATCACAAAAATTGAAGGTACACTAAAGATCAAGGAGGACTTAGTAATTGGCACTAATCACTAATCAGCTGCGACGGGCAGCTAAATCATTTTCTTTTTTCTAGGGAATGAGAAAATTTTCAACCATACTGATGTTACAGACTCCATGATCAGAAATAATTATTTTTGTATTGTTGTCTTTGTCTATTATTGACAATTGAGATCATAGACTGCGCAGAGAGCTGGACTGATGGCCACTTGTGGCTGGAGAAGTAAGATAGATAAGGGGGTACAAGTGCGCCTTCACATGAACTCCTGCAACATGTAGCAGCAAGAGTGTTGCAGGTGTTGCATTTGGAAAATAGCCCACCTCGAAAGTTGTCATAGAATAAGTTATCTAGTTTATTCTATGGCTTATCTGTTGTTGTGTGATGCAATGTCCAAACATTCCTTCAAAAATTATTTACCATCTCTAATTAGTTGTGATTGTGGGGATTTCAACATTCTATAAGAAAATTTATTCTTTCAAGATGCTCTCTAATTTAGGAATTGAAGAATGCCTCAGAGATTCCCCAAAATTCAGGTATGTTCAAATTCAGGCCTGTACCACATTATGAGGGCAGAAAATTACTCATCCTCCAGCCTATTTCCTTTACAATTTCCTGAAAAAGTGATCCTATTATGATTAATGTAAATGCTTTTATGCACAGGATGGATCTCAGATGCTCTCTTTCCCTGATCTCTCATGCTCAGTACGTGTTGTGATAGATCCCTACCAGGAGGCGGTTCAATGCAGTGTTCTTTGTTGACAGCGAGCTCTTTTTTTCGCTTCAATTATGCTGACTTTTATCTTGCTGCTGTCCTAAATCTTTCAGTGAATCTTAACACAAGATTAAAGATCTTCTGTCTCTTTCTGAGATCTAGTCTGCGAGTCTAGTAGTGCTCTGTTCATCTCAGGAACTGGTATCATCAGTTATTGATAGGTAGCGATTCCTGTGGCGTGCGGTGGGTTTGGTGATTAGACAAGCTGTAGCGAGCAGTATTTGGGGTTAGGGGCTACAGAGCACCCACCTCTCATTCAGGGAGACTTCCTAATGTACGTTTTGAATTGTGATCCACGGCAACTTTTTTATTTAGTTTCAAGGATTAGCTCTTAATAGTATATCCAGAAAAAATATGGTCATACTCTTGCCCTGTTACTCATTTCTTTCCCTCCACTTTTCGCATATTTTTTTTAGAATTAGACAACCAACTTGTTGCTCTGACCTCCTGTCAGTCCTATTATTTCTAGTCCCAATCCCAAACCATTATGCTTATTTTTAATCGTAAGTTTCCCTAGACCACCTCTTAGAGTTTAAAACAGGATTGAAACCGTCTTATTAACTACCTTGTAGATCCAAGTGGACACCAAATTATAAAATTGGAGGGCTACTTAATTCAGCATCATTTACACTAAAGGTGTCGCTGAGTAAGGCTGCGTATTTTTCCAAATGGTGCATCTTCAATAGGATTTCTTTATGAATGGTGAGGCGCTAGAAAATGTAAAGGATTATAAACAATTCAGTCAGCAAGGAAGAGTTGACGCTGAAAATTCGGTTACCTAATGTTCCAATGGAAATGATATCAAAGTAAACCTAGTCAATCCTGCAATTCTCTAACTGACGAATGCTCTCCCATATGTTTTGCATGAACTTCAACCATCATGCTGTTGCTGGTTTAGTCATTTACTTGTGATAAGCAATAAACGCTGCTCACTTTATTGATTAAGTTGCGTAAAATTTTGGACCCAAGCTGTCCTTCGCCTTAGAGAAAAACTCACTTTTATTAAATTCTATCGGACCAAATTTAAAAGTGTGTCAGAAAACTTTGCTTAATTGCTTTTTAACACTCTTTCTAGATTCTCTCTACATAGCTTAGACCAGAAGATATTGAATTGGCAAATTTACTCTCTGAACGACTCTTGTATTTTTAATTATTCATGTAAGTTTTTTGAACAGAATTTCTTTATTACAATTTAATTTCTTCTACTGAATAAAAATTTCCAATTTTTTCCGGGTTGACTTTTCTCAGGTACTGATTTGGCATATTTACCTCTCTTTTTCCAATTATTGTCATGAACTTTCCTAAAGAATTTCTCAATTTCTGTTTCAGAGCATTTCTGGAAGACCAAGAGAGCCATATTGATTTACTGGAAGGAAGATTGGATAAGGTCAGTTTTCATCTGTGTCAACTACAGGAACCCAATCTTACCTTAGCTGATTTCAAACTTTTTTTTTTGGTCAAAAATAAAGAACACAGAATTTGAATGAAATACTCGGATTCCATGAAACATAGTAGATTTTAATTTTTGAAAATTTAAGGGAAAAGATTATGTTAAAAACGTACCTAATATAGGCACTTAGAACTACTTACTTTTTGCATGGGAGAGACAGTATACCAATTGGTGATTTGACATAAGTCGAGGTGAGTGACACCGTAAGAGTATTAGACACAATGCGTAGTTAATGTAACTTTTGTTATGCTCAGGGCAGAGCGTGCAGATGATTTAAAGTGATTGATTGCATTTGATTCATGCATATCTTTGGCTGAAGTCAGGGATAGTAGCCTGGGTCCCTGAATACTTTTTTCGGATTTGGATTTTAAAAATACCCTGTCAGCTGGTGCTGGGATTTGTTGTTGACTGACATTTGGTGCCATGCTGAAACCATCAGAACCTTTCATGTGTATCTACACTTTTTGAGTCTGCATCCTCTCCCTATGAGGCACAAAACTTGTAGTGCATCTCAAAGCTTCCTTTCAAGGCATGTTAATCCCATCTGACAACAATCATAGGAGCATTTCGGTGAAGAATATATTTTTTCCATTTTCTGAATGTTAGGTATTTAAAATTACCACCATTTTAACACAGTGCCATTCAAACAAGCCAGACAGTACTTTTTATTAATATATAAAATCTTCTTCCCACAGGTTGTCAAAGTTTGCAGTAGCATGGTTGAAGCTGGGAAAACTTATGTTGCGCAACAGTCTCTTTTTGCTAATAGTCTTTGGGAGTTAAGCGTTTGTTTTCGAACCGATCATGACACTACCTCATACTTGAACAAATTGATTCATGCTCTGCAAGAAATGAATAAGTATCTAACGATACTCCTTGATCAAGCTTCAAGAACTATTTTGATGAATCTGAACTCTTTTCTCAAAGAGTAAGTTGTCCCTAAATTCTTTTCTTGCTTAAGGTTTAAAATCTACAGTGTTCGAAACTCACCTTTGGCCTTGTCTCCACGGGACGTTTTCATGGGATTTGTCCCAAGTTCGAATCGCAGGAATGAAACTTCTGGGATTTTTCCCAGTTACCGTCTCCACGGGACGGGGCTCATACAGTCCTGCGACTAGTTTTCGCGGGAAGATAAATTGGTTAAAGTCGAGTGTTTAACCGGGATTAAAATAATGATTGCACTCAATTAACAATTAGACACATTATTTTAACTAAACAAACATTAACAATGTAGTAATGAATAAAATATCGCACAATTCGTTTTCACTTCTTCTTCTTCTCTCAGTGGGTCCTAAAGGGTACAAGTACCATACTTGGTACTGGGAAAAATATTGATTAACTCAATATTTTTCCCAACTTCGTAAGTGGGATTTTTCCCTGGGACAAATCTTGTGAAACGGCTCGTGGAGACAAGGCCCGAGAGTTTCAGGAGCCATGTTGTGCATCAAGCTCGATTTTTAGGAGCCACTGAAGATTTTTTAGGGGCCAAATTGACTTTTTGCCCATATATCACAGCGCATTTAGTGAAAAGTTAGACGCAAGATATTTTAGTTACAGAACTAGTATGTGTAATCAAGGGAAATTTCAAAACATCACCAAGCAGGAAAATTAGGATTTTTTTGGGGGTGGGAGAGGGGGGCAATTTTCAGGGGCCACGTTGGCGCAGAGCCTTCATTTTTTAGGCGCCATGACCGATTTCTTAGGTGCATTTGTCATGTTGGCGTCTGTGAGTTTCGAACACTGATTTCTATACAGATTCATCTCTATTTAGATCTTTTTTTAGTTTCTAGGTATATCATCTGACCTAAGGTATTTTGAGTTATTTTTAGGAACTATCAGATTTCCCTATACAGCCTTTTCTCTCCTCATAATATGGAAGCATTTGGTCCTATTCTTCCGAATTTCCGCACTAAAAAATACGGAGGACTCACTCAAGTGATTTTAGATAATAAACACGATGCAAAATCTCCAGGTCTGTGTCAATAAAACTGCTCATCAGGCTGAATTCTAAGCACTACAAGGAACTGGACCACAACTTAGTCTCCAGTAAACATTTAGTGGACCAACCACAAATTAACATCTTAGCTCGCTATGTCCTCTAATCTCCATCCTTGAAAGGTGGCCCTGACCAATAAGTGGAACATTAGCTCAAAGTTAACACTGGGCTTAAGCTGACAAATTATGGTGCCTGAGATGTGTAAAATGCTAGATAGCTCATGTCTCACCGTGCAGCTGTACTTATCAGCATTAGGATAGGGTTCTATTTGGACCGAGTTTAACAGAAAGGAACCAAGCCACATCAGCTATTGCCAAATTTAAACGGCCAATTTAATTTTTTACATGAAAACGGTTGTGCGGATTTTCGTGCAAATTTCAGTGGATTTTCTCCACAGTGCAAGGCAAATTCCTTACAATTTTCAAAGGAATCCATACAAATGTTCTCTCGTAAAAAATTAAATAGCCCTCATAAATTTGGCAATAGCTGATGTGGCTTGGTTCCTTTCTGTTTAACGCGGTCCATTTCAGTATAAATCATTGTAAAATTTAAGGAAACAAATTGAGGGGCATAGTGTCAACTTTTTGAAGGGCTGTGCAAAGATAGGGCACCGTGGCAATTAGGTGTCGCAAAGTGCCAGAAATCGCTGTGAAAGTGGCTTGTATGTGAGTAAAATTTGAGGAAATTAACTCAGTTTTACCGGTTGTATAAATGATATTGATGTTTAATTTTTCTCATGTTACAGCGTGAAAGTTATGAGAGAATCAAGGCATCACTTTGATAAAATTTCAACCGACTTGGATACTGCTTTGATGCGAAATGCTCAAGCTCCCAAATCCCGCCCTCAAGAAATTGAAGAGACCTTGAACATACTGGCTGCTACCCGCGCTTGCTTTCGACATACCGCCCTGGACCATTTGCATTGCGTCACGAAACTGAATTCTCGTAAAAGTCATGAAGTTCTTTCAACAGTAAGCTTTTATTTTGGTTCTTTGTTAGTTCTGTTATTTACATCTGTCTTTTAGTCTACATGTAACGATCATTTGAGAGAGTACAAGCCGCTGAATGAAGACTTGCGCTAGCCTACCACTTCTCTGTCAAGTGTCGACACTTGTATCAGGGTCATTCCATGTCAACCCCAGAGACAAGAGACCCTCCACTGGCTTCTTGGTGAGAGGTGGAAGCTTTTACTTTCGAGGATTCAACATTTCCTTCTGGACAATTATATGGAAGCAACAGTCATCACTCTTTTTTCGGCTGTTGACCTACTTACATGGTGGATGATGAGCTTCAGGTGACGTCATGAGCCAAACAAGTTTTCTAAACTTCAGTTTGTGTGGAAAACAAAACTGCCAACATGTTGTTATACATCAACCATGCAGGTAAGTCAACAGTTTAACGTTGAAGTCCTGAAAGTAAAAGCTCTCACCACAGCTGAGATACGAGTGGAGGGTCTCTTGTCTCTGGTCAATTCATATAGGTTTGCAACCTACCATCTTAGATTTTAATGGTTATTTTTTCTTTTGTTCAGACCACCAACTGACAAACGTTGGCAAAATATTATCCTATTAATCGTACTCACCATTATACTCTTGATTATCCTCTTAATTTGGTTTTATTCAATGCAACAAAAAGATTAATCCCACTCCCCCGTTGTTTTGGTCCACAAGTGGATTTCCGTATCTACCTGTCGTATTTGGCCAGCTCATACCCGAACTGTCATAGGGCTATGTGCTCTCCGAAGTTTTAAGTTTCTCTGAAAGCTTTAAGATCTTTTCAGCTCTGAATATGAATCAAGATTTTGTTTTTTGTTTCAGCTTCTGTCATATCTACAGGCTTGCAGCACATACTTTCATCAAAGCTATGATTTAAGTGAGGGACTACATCCTCTTCTGAAACAAATCGCGGATGAGGTGAGGAAAATTTAGAGGCCAAACATACATTAAAATTTTGTAGATAAGGTTAGGATCCATCCGCCTGACATCAAAGTCTTTCCATGGCACCTCACTGGGTTAATGAGACTGTCACTGCCAAACTGATTTCAGATATGTATGAACGCCATTTGCTAGCGATTTTGAAGGCGTTTACATGCAAACTTTAGGCTGAATATTTTTTCAAGCCTAGTCTTGAAATTTTCTTAACCATTCACCATGTTTTGCCTCGTTTTAGTGTTATTATTCTGGTGCTGAGAGAACGTATGAGTCCAACAAGAGACGCAAGAGTAATTTCAAAGTTTCATAATGTTTATTTTTTACACAGGTAACAAAATTGCAGTTGGACACTTCACATCATGAGAAACAACTCGATCACTTTCATGCATTGGTCAATAAAGAAGACCTGGTTTCATATTCTACTGATTCTGGCACTAAAATGGAGGGCTACCTATTCAAAAGAGCTTCCAATGCTTTCAAAACCTGGAATCGACGGTGGTTTTATCTTTGTGATAACAAACTAGTCTACAGAAAACGGACAGGTTAGTGTATTTCTCATAATTGAAACGTCCTGTAGTGGATCTTTAGACAGGGAGAAACTGAAACACCTCAACATACTTTTGCTCATCAAAATTTTATGCAGAACTTTTTGTGTCGATTTCTTGAGGGTACCTACCTATCTATATGACTCCCCAACGTTCATGTAGAGTCACCAGTTCAAGGGTCAATAATTTTAGCATCAATCCTTTTAAAACTGGGATCGTATGGAATAATCCGATTAATCTCTCCCCCCCCCTCCCTAAAAAACAAATAAAAAATACCAGAACAGTCAATAGTTATGTAGGTTTTCAATTGTTAACATTCAAAATAAATACTGCTTTACCCTGAAATATTATTTTATAATCATAATGTAGTCATAATTCAGTCTTTGTTTTTTTTTTTGTCTTCAAATTAGGAGAGGAACAAGCAACAGTAATGGAAGAAGATCTGCGGTTGTGCTCAGTGAGGCCTGCATCTGACTCTGAACGCCGGTTCTGTTTTGAAGTTATCTCGCCAACCAAGTACGCACTTTTCAACAACATTCAAGGCTTGAATCTCTACTCATAAAATATATATTTCCTGAATAGGCCATTTCAGAAGGAAATCTCATTTAGAAAAATGTGCTGCATTCTGAACGAGAAAATAATTAGTTTTTTAAATATGTATTTTCATAGAACTTGATGAAAAGAAAAGAGAACTTAGATTGACCCAGGAATATGAATACTAGTCCACTAATTTTTGACAAACAGTAACTGGAGGGACTTTAATGAAGGAAATTATTATCTCTCTTTTATTTATCAACCTTCTTGTCTTGTAGGAGTCACATGTTGCAAGCAGAATCTGCCGAGGGATACCGCGCATGGATAAATAGTTTACAACAAGAAATAGGTGCTGCAATTCAGTCAAGCTCTTATGGCAAAAACACGCATTCCACTCTCAACACATCTCAAAGCAATTGCAAGAACAAACAACGTCGTACCAAGTAAGTTTTTCTGGTTAATTTATTATTTTTGTCGGTTGATTAATATTTTTTTTGGTTCTCTATGTTGGTTGGTTTTAACTATTACACATCGAGTGTCTCAAAAGTTCAGGACTGATGTCATAACTTTGCAAAGACTTGGAGATGCACAGTGGACCAGGAACTGAGAACATCTGGTTTATAATCTGACAACCCTCCTTGATTGTCACACTGAGTTGAGAGCATGAGGACTCGAAAAAGTGGTAAAAGTGAATTTGTCGTCACCTCTAAAAAGTGAGGCTCTTGGAGATAAAATCCACGAAGGATTGAGCAGTCAATAATTTGGATTAGCTTCTCACTATATCAAAAGGAGCTTCTCACTAGCAGATTTTGGAGCTTTTAACTACGGAAAGCAGTAAACTACTAGGGTTAATTACTGATTTTTACACTGATCTTTTTTTCTGATTCTTTAACAAACACTTACTTACTTTTTTCAGAATCTGGGAAGGATTATTGAAAATACCAGGAAATGATACCTGCTGTGACTGTGGTGAGGGCAATCCCAAGTGGGCAAGTATCAACCTGGGAATCACTCTATGCATCGGTACCTATTTTACATATTCTTTATAATTTCAGTTGTATTTTCTTTCCTTTTTCTTTTTTCTAAACATTTTTAAATATATGTCAAAATATTACTGCTGCTGAAGCCCTTCAAGAAATGGCATGAAAGATGCTTTATTTTACAGCATCAATGATGATGAGAGATATGCAGCAGGAAAGTCTTTAACATTTTTATGGTGAGAATACTCTCTTCCTTCTATTATCTTCGATCCTCTTAGAACCGCAAGGGCTTAATAGGTATCCTCTCAAAATATTTCCGAACATTTCAGTCTGAATCTCAGTGTTGTACACACAAGTTGTACAACACGATAAGTTATGTATCCTACACTCTAAAATTTCACTAGTAGTCACTTCGGGTCAGTGATCATTAAGACTGCATTCTGAGCCACTAGCGTGAAATTTAAGAATAATGATTTTTGAACGTTTTTGTAATGTACAAGTAAACAGCCTTACCTCTGATAGCAATTGAGTACTCATACAATTTGAAATGTTGTATTGAAATGCTTGTCTTGTATTTCAAAATGAAGAATGTAGCGGAGTCCATAGAGGTTTGGGAGTCCATCACAGTAAAGTGCGGTCCATCACCTTGGACGACTGGGAACCTGAAATGCTTCGTGTAATGGCTGAACTTGGAAACAAAGTTATCAATAGCATCTATGAAGCGGAGGTTGATCAGCCAGAGCTCTTTTTAGAAAAACCAACGCCAAAGAGTACCAAGTAAGTTGAATTTTATCCGTATAGTTTTGGAGTTACCTGTATTCATACTTCATTTTAATGTGCATCAAAGGATGATCAACCTCTCTTTGAACCAATTGGTGTTTTAGACTGTTTTTAGATTTAAAGAGGAGTCACTCATGTAAAGCTGCTCTAAAGTCTTAATGCATTCTGAGGAAAAATCTAAAATTTACTCCTTACATTACTATTTGTACAGAAAATAGGTGCCTAACAAGCAAGGTATCCTTTGGTATAAAGACCCATGCTGCCATGCGCTCTGTTTTAAGCAAACAGGATTTTGGAATCCTGAAGAAGTAGGACACTCATGAACATGAACTTATTCAAAGTTTAAGGGGAAAGGATAAAAAAAATAGCCTTTGAAAGGCGCACTCAGCCAGTGGGCCAATTATTGAAATTGATAGACAAAGTTATAGACATAGAAGACAAAAGGGATATGGAAAGATCCTATTGGTGGAAGCGGGTGAGTGCAATGGACAAAGGAGGTAGGTAATAGACTCACTAACCTTTGAAAGACCTTATCATTAGTCTATTATTTTCTGCCTTAGGCTATCAGAACCACTCATTTTAACCAAAAGGATTGCTCTGTACTCCTAATGTCCTCTTTGTCTATGAATTTCAATAATTAGCCTGCAGATAGTTGTCAGATGGACTCTTCATTTTATTTCTTGGCAACAGCACTTTTTTTATTCACGGAAGATTTGTTTTATTTCGCAATAAATACAAGATCAAAAAGTATTTCAGTTGATACTCATCAAACCAAGGCCCTAAAAAAATGTCACCAAGGTTGTTCTCCGTCAGAAGAAATTTTACATGAACTTTTTTAGAACTCTGTAACTTTGTAAAAAATAGTGGAATTAAATTAGTATTTGGTGTATGCATTCTTAAAATGTTCTTTTGTAAGCTCGTTTGTACTTTTCGAAAAAACGAGGACTTCCTGGGTTGTAGCAACTCAAACGTTCCAACTTCCGTTTCTCGAAATCAAAAATCCTGTTAAGCCCTTTTACTGAAGAATGCCCCAATTACGGTTATGATTTAATAGTTGGATGAAAATGTCTTTGAAGCAAAGTTTTAACTCATTCATTGAACCAAAAATATTGATGTTTTACTTCTTTCTCTCTCTCTCTCTCTCTCTTTAATTTCTTAAATTTTTAAACTTTTCAAGAATATTCTAGTGCAATTTTTTTTCACTGTAAAAAAAAATGAAGCATGGGAGAAAATTAGGCACCATGTTATGTTGACGTAAATTGATTTTAGTCTTAGCCATTCGATTCAACTTCCATTCTTTCTTTCTTTTTTTCATAGATATACTAGAATTTTGACTGTAGACATTTTTTTTTTTTTTTCAAATTTTATTTTTCTCCTAATTTCTGGTCAGGTTATACTTTTAAGATCATCTGTATACTGACAGTTTAAATCATTTATTCTCTACTGTATTTTATCAGTTCTCCTAAAAAATACTCAGGAAACTAGAAAATCATGAATTTTAGAAGTAATTTCATTTCTTTTATAGTGCTGTACGAGAAGCCTGGATCAGAGCCAAATATGAAGAAAAATTGTTTGTGAAGCAATTGAACATTCAAGGGAAAGAGGCTTTAAACTCATCAAAACTTAACCTAAAAGTTTCTCGAAAATGGAGCGTCCGAAAATTGAGAAGAAGACCGCGTAGTAGAGAAGACAAAATTAGCACTAAAACAATAGAGGAAAACTTTGACTTAAGTAAAAATTCTGAACAAAGTTCATCAGAACACGTGGACACCCCTGCCAGAGAAACACTCACTACCTCATTCCAAGACTCAATGTCAAGTTTGAGCAGTTTAAAAGAAGAACTCATGGAAATCGTACAGAAACCTGAACTAATAGATATAACGGAGCGCAAGTGTGATAAGTTGACAAAACCTGATGTCATATCATCGATAGGAGTGTCAAATATTAGCAATGGAAAGGACACTCTCATTCTTTTTGATGGTCATGTTGGGCCTCAAACATTAGACGATACAATATCCGTCAGTAGCGATGATTCAAGTTGCGAGGATGAAAACAATACCTCTTTTGGTAAGTCATGATAATTTTTTATTTTTTTCATCTCTCCTGAATTTTGTTATAGTGACCTTTTTTGGGAAGTCATGATGATAATTTTTTTTCCTGAACAGAATTTTTTCTGTTTTTTCATTTTACCTGCAGAACTTGGTAATAGTGACATAAAGCCATTATCGATTTTTATAGCTCAAATATGCATGTTCATCTTCTCACATAGCCATATTGAAGGTTTGTGAAAGGTTTTACGAAACGTTTGAGATGGTGCTGCAATAGCAGTCGAAGAACACGGAAACATGAAAAGAATAACAACTGAGATAGGAATGAAGATGAATGGCTCGCCATCCGGCCTAAACACACAAAAACGAAATCACTTAAAGAAAATCACCATAGGAGTGATTTTCCCCCACAAAAGATTCTCACATCTTGAAAAAGAGCACTGAACTGTCTGCCCGCTAAGACCAAAGTAACTTAAGTATGGCGTCCTCGTAACCGTTCCTCTCTCTCTCTGGTATCCAGCTCTTCCATTGGTGGATCAAGTCATATGACCGGATCCCCCAATAGGAATACAGACACCAGACAGAGACAGGGAGGGAAGTAAGAATAACCACATATTTATATGTCACACGTTTTATGAACATTGGAATGCCATGATAACCTAGCGCTGGTTTTTGTTGAAGCAAAGTCCGGTTTGAAAATTGTACGGTCAAATTCATTTCCAACTCAGTGCTTTTAAGAGCACTTTTTCACACAGTGAATTTTGTTTCAATTTAGTAGTTGATATTCAAGGATCTTGTTCTAGTTTTATCCCTGTTTTTGATGTATAATAATTTTGCTCCAAGATTGGGAGAACAATTCATCGAATGTTAATGTACCCTCCTTTTTTTCCAGTCAATGAAGAGGACATATCAAAGTTGGAACCAGATCTTTTATTATACAGGGCATCATTAGCTCACAATTTACCTGTCATGTGCTATGCTCTAGCGCTTGGGGCAAATAAATTTTGGTGCAATAAAGATGACAAAGGGAGAACGCATTTACACCAGGCTGTGCTAAGTGTAAGTTTTTTTTTTTTTTTTTTTTTCAGAAAACTTTAGTCTTACTTTTTACTTGCTATTTTCTCCCCTCCCCCTTGGTCGCATGGAGCATTTATTTCCTCAGGGCTTACTCCCGTATTTTGGCTTTTTCTGGCTGATGACTCATTAAGACACCCGTTGATGATGTCATGGGAGCAAAATTTTTTGTAGTGGTAATATATTTTTAAGAAAGTTGCTGTAAGAAATGTATTAAAGATCCCCTTTCCTCTTATTGAGGGAAAAGTTTAATCATCAAAAGAACAGTACCAATGGTTGGCAATGCCAATCTCAGGAAGCGGTTTCTTTTCTATAAAGACACATTTAGGTCTAGAAATTTTTTTGCATTAATTGTTACAACTCTCTGTAAAGATTAGTACTGTACAAGGTAGACACTTCTGTCCACTGTCAGTTCTCCAAATCTTTTGTAAAATTCAATGAAGTTCTTCCTTATTTTACCAGTTCAAATGCAAATAGAAAACAAGAGCTGCAGTATTAATTACGGGACGAGTGGCACGCCCTACTTTTATGAGTTGCCTCTGATTGACTGATATGCCTGGTGCCTACTTTCTGGGGTCCTCATGAAGTATAACATGGGGTTCATTTTTCATCCAAAATATCTCGAAAATAAGGAAAAATTTGTAAGTTGAAAATTTCAAAAATCGATTTTCCTGATTTTTCTGAAGAGACTCATGGGTAATACGTAGCGCTTTTTTCTTAAACACACGGAACAGTTCGACCTTGAATTTCGCTCTTTCAACTTGAAATATGACACTTAGGTGTCATGAAAAAGTAAAGTTCCAGGTTGAACTGTTCAATGTGTTATAAAAAAAAGTGTCATGTATTACCCGTGGATCTCTTCAGAAAAATCAGGAAAATCGATATCTGAAATTTTCAACTTACAAATTTTTCCTTGTTTTCGAGATATTTTCGATGAAAAATGAACCCTGTGTTATATTCCATGAGGGCTGGCCAATCAGAGGCGACTCGTAAAAGTAGGAGGTGCGACTCATCCTGCAATTAATATTGAAGCTCTTGTTTCCTCTTTGTTTAAATTAACATTTTCGCTCCTGACCAAATGCCACCTGTTTCATGTATTGATTCTCCCTTGTGAAAATCCTCTTTGCAAATTTTCATCTGTACCGAGGCTATACTATATTCTTACTCCCACATATTGTATCAAAGCTTCTAATGACAGCCTGTATCTTTATCTTTCATAATTCATTTCACCTCATCTGTTAATCCTCTGTAATTATGCATGTTTTCTTCTTTCCCAGGGATCAGTCATGGCTTGTGAATATCTTCTTCTGAACGGTGTAAAAATTAATGCTCAAGATGATGATGGGAAGACGCCACTACATCTCGCTACACTCAGAGGTATTTTTATCTTTACATGTGGCCACTTTCGAGAAAATTATCAGTTACCAGCTATGGTCCCAATTAAATTATTCCTAATGGATCACTGGAGGAATGATGAATTTAAGCATTCTGATTTATATTTCCTCTTCATGAAAGTACGATTTGGGAAACAGAAATGCTCAAATTAACTCCTAATCATGATACAGTCATCCCTTGTTATAACATTTCTGAAGGGGAATGAGAAAATCAAAAGTTGCTTCCGGATAAACGTCAATTCGAAACAACGTTTTAGAGCGTTGTTTCACTACATCCCAAAATTTAATTTCTTGAAATTTTTCGACGACATAACAGGGCAGGGTTGATGAAAAGCTTCCAAACTCTGCTTTCGTATAAATATCAAAAATCAAAATATTGAAAACGGCGACCGAAGACTGATTTACACACTGCAAATGCAACTCCTCATGAACTTTATCACAGACAGCTCTCTGCAACAGCGGTCACTTTTCTTTGTTGTCAACTCGGCGCGCTAATTACCCAATAATACGTTTCTCCTTGTACAGGACGAAAAAATTTAAACGTCGTTTCTGAGAAAACGTTATTTTGAAAAACATCGTAACGCAACAGTTTATATGTATATGGTTCCCATGGGAACATCACAGGACTTAAGATTTTTTACAAAGGAGAGCCTTCTCTCTTTTGCCAAAGAGCTGAGACGCATACTGCTCGTCCTTGGACTCCTGAGTTTTCTTGGAGACAGGGAAGATTATAGCAAGAGATGGCAAATGAAGTAAATAATAATCAAAAAGAACCAGAACTTTTCAGTATGATGACCAAATGTTGTGTTGTTGCTGAAAATAAATGCTGTAACTGCTTTGTTGCATCTTGCCCCGATGCTTTATGTACACAAACTGATATTGTCCCTTTGAGAGTTTCTATCTTTAAGAGTTTACATCGGAATGCTGTACTGACTGAGGTATTTCTGTGTCTTGTTGTTTTTAGCATTTTGTACTTGGATCTCTAACCTTTTATTTATTTGAGAATTTTCTCATTTACAAGAGTGTCTCTCTTAATTTTTTTAATTTTACTACCTGTTACTTACAATATTCAGGCCACTTTATTGGTGTTTTTTTTTTCTTGTCTATGCTAATGAATTAGAAGATTTATGTACTTCTTTAGGCAATTAGACCAGTCCAAATCAGTTTGGTTACTGTACATCTATCTCTGGTTTGTTTGTCCCATTGTTTTCATTCATCTTCATCAGTATTTTTCCTTATGTGATACGTTTTGTGTCTCAGGTCATACGGCTCAAGTATGTCTTCTATTGAAGCATCGCGCTGATCAGCACATAGAGGATAATGATGGAGACTTACCACTGGCTATTGCTGTCAATCAAGTTAATGCAGATATAGTTACCTTGTAAGTAAAGTAATATGCGTTTCAGTGACACTTTTTTCCTAATTGCCTTATTCAGCTCTCTCTCTAGAATTATAGTTGGACCAACCATTAAACTAGGAGGGTGAAAGATGTTATTGCGTGAAAACTTTTGTGATATTTTTTCTCCAAGTAAAGGATTATTTGTGAAGATTCAAGGGACAAAGTTGGTTCTTTTCATTTAAAAAGAAAAATAATACCAGCAGAATTAAGCCTAAATGAATTAAAATAGTTATTCTGTATATCTGATTTTCTGATTATCTTAAAAAAGTGTTTTACTTGAAAATTAATTGTTTGCTTAAATTTCTATGAAAATTTATGACATAACGTGTGATTCGGTTATGCTTGTCTTGTTGTGAGATCAAATGTTCACGTTGCTTGCTTGTAGCTGCAATATCAGTACTACTGATATTGCGTATGATATGATATGATATGGTATATTCCCTTCGTATGAAAGGAAATTTGCAATGTTACAAACTGAGAAAGATCTTTTAGAGCTGAGCTATCGTTTTCTCATTAGTTGTACAATGTTTGAATAATCAATCGAACATTAGAGCCATAGTGTCTTGGTGAATGCATGAAATTTTAGATAAATAAAAAACCCTGGCAACAAAAATTCCATTATTTTTTGTCTTTTTTCAGATTACGGTTAGGTAGATTAAATGAAGAGATGAAGGAATCGGAGCAAGGCGCTAGTGATGATACCTTCAATGATGTTTTCCAAGATTTCTCTCTACGCGCCGCTAACTCGCCAAATGAAATGATTCAAGATAGTTCGTAAAGTACAATTGCCTTCACTGTGATATTTAGAAGTCTATTTGCAAATCCTGCCTTTGAAAGTGCCCGCATTTTGCCTTGGAGTGTTTTAGGTAATGTTTGTGTGTTATCAATCCTTCAAAAGTTTTTGAAAGTTTTGAAGGTTTGTCTGACTGTTTTAAGTACCCAAATATATATGTTTTAACAGTTTGGCAAAGACTCAGTTGCCTCATAAATTTCGGTACTCATATCAGCTTTCCTTGTAATAATTATCGTTGTTTTGTATACATTCTGTTAATTTATTCTGTACTCAATGGGACTGTTGCTCAGTATTTTCAACTCACTTCTATGTGAAAAATGAGAAAGCCTGCATGTTTCTGTTTTTTATTTCATCAAATTTTAGCCGAAAAAAATACTTGTGAAATCGTCAAAAATCCAAGTCTGTTTCGAACAGAAAAATATTGCACCTACAGATTTTGTGACCTTGTAAGAAGAATTAACCGCCAAGTATCCTTTTACTTGCATTTTATTATTTATTCTCAGGTTGCACTTGTAAAGAGAGGTCATGTATCTCGACCGTGCTTCCAATATAATGGCTGTTTGAAGTGGTTATTTTTTTTTAAATGGAAATATTTGTTCTTAATTTAAATTACAGGTTAGCCGTGTTGCATTTGATTCAAGGTTGTTGAAACCATGGGTTGTCGCCTCGTATAATGTCCTAGGTCTTGGGCCAATGAAAAATGTCCTTTTGAAGTATTCAACTTCAGGCCTATCTCTCAGTCAGAAAACCTGTTTTTAGCTCTTGAAAGCTCAAAAGCGGGTTTCATGCAAAAATTCATCATTTATAAACTTATTTTCAAGGCAATTATTGGTTCTTGCGACAGCCCCATTATATTTTTTACTCATTTTGTGGTTCAAATTAATCTGGTTTTGTTTTTCTATTTTTCTGTTTACCATCAGTGCATGGTTCGTTTAAACCAAAGTTAAATGAAAAAACACACTGCTTCTGATGTTTCATCAGAATCTTAAATTAGAGAGCAAGTACTTTAATTCAAGCTCTATACAAAAACATTTTTTCAGGCTTTTGGATATTAAGTTGATTTGTTTCTTGGTTTTTTCCATTATACTTTGGTTCAATTGAACTGTGAGACTGATTTAAAACGGAAAAAGTTCATCACAGTTGTTATAAACATAACAGAGATTTGAAATTTTTAATACATGTACAGAATCACTCCTACCAACTGGTTTGAATAAAATTTGTCAGAGAAAGTCAAGTTAAGTGTCCAATTTTGCACTGGCAATACCCTGTTTTAGACCTCATGCCGCTTGTGATTAACTGTTTTTAGACCTCATAGCATGGCGCTTGTGACTAACTGGTTTTTCCTTTTTTTTTTTAAAAATTTAATCCAAATAGTGAAGGATATGCAGATGTTCTGCTACCTGTAAAAAGTAACGATTGAAGCTGAATTGTTTTTTTTTTAACTCAAAGAGTCTTGAACCAAAATAATTCATTCGATATTCTAATTTGTCAACAATGATGCTTGTGATACTTAGGCTGGAAGATGATAGTGTCAGAATCTTGCCGCTAAGAAACCAGACTAATTTGGACAGAAGGAACAATAGGCTATAAAAATCAAAGATTACCCCATCATGTTGATATTGGTTTGTTGAAGTGGCTCTCGCAATGAGATTTAAGTGCTTTCTCCTCTGAATGATCGATAATCTTTTTTATTTTTAATTTTTACAATGTGTAATCATTTTTTAATAAGTTATAATATTTGAAAATCATATCAACTCATTACATTCTAAGTTTTATTTTTTTACCAATGCATGTTTTGATCAAGAATGTTACTTTTTAATGCCTGCGTTTTAATTTGAAGCATTTAAGTAAGCTCTTACTTCTGAAGAGTGTACTTCGTTGACTTGTATGGACATTCGTATTCACAATGTTAGTTTATTGAAATAGAGTAACTTTTAATATTGCTATATATTGCCAATAGATATCAATGCTTTTTGTTATTATGCTAACATTTGCTGTAAAAGTTTTTATGATAAATAAGTGGACCGAGGTTCCAGCTGGAAAGGTACCTATTTTTTGCTTACTTCAGTCATAGTATATTTGTCATTGATTCCTAGATTGGAATAGGTGCTCTTTTAAGTATATCTAAGTACATGATTCCTCTCTATTAAACTCATTCCAAATGTAAGATCTAGAAATAAGATATTTTTTAAACATTGAAAATGAAAAGCTATTTACAGAGTCCTCCCCCAATAAGTTTAAGCACTTTTTGACCGTGACAGAGGATCTGCTATCTTGATTCTTGCATTTACTTTCAATGCTAAACTGACGTCACATGATCTTCTGTCACAGTCTAGAAGTGCGTAAACTTATATGGCCTGGATTCTATCAAATAAGAGCCATGATTGTAGGAATAAAAGTTTTCTTTCCTCGGAAGGCTCTTTGGTTTACATTGTGGTGAAATCAAGCAGTACCTATTTTTTCCCTCTCAGAGGGAGAGGAGAGTTCTACTGACGTAAAAAATCAAGATAATAATATCAGCTTTACTCCTGAAAGCAAAATATTTGGAGTTTCCTTTAAATCATCGGGGTCTTTTCACGTTCTTCCAAGAAAATTTGGGCATGATTTGAGACAGATCTCTCATTCTAAATGAGTCTATGTTTGGTTTCAAACTCGTTTTTTATGCTTTCAGTGAGTCTCTTGAAGATTAAAATAACCGTTAAAACAGTTATTTAGTTCTCTCTTTTGAAAATTTAAAGGATTATTGAGTGCTATAGTCTTTTTTCAGTGTTTCAACGATTTTGAAGTGATTAGATGTCGGAGCCATGGATATTTTACAAATACAGATGCACACAAACTTTTGATACGGCCTCTGATGATTTTCCATTCAGGTGTGTCGATTAGAATCAGCAATAGCCATGGAAAACACTTATTTTTACTAACTAGTTTTAACAAATTTCTTCAATATAGAAGGTGATTCGTTTTCATTTTCAGTATTCTCGGAACTTGGCGTCATTCCATATTTACTTAATGTAAACTATTCATGTAAACTATTTGAAGGTTAGAGATTGGTTTCTCCTTTAGATATATTCAGAAGTCTCAGCTTGGTTCTTCCATCAGATTTGTTCTTGAAAACACAACTTAATCGGCCCGAAACATTAATAGAGAAACAACTTAAAACGGGACAATGACAATGGTGAGGCTCATAGTGTCTTTTCTTTTAACTTTTCTTGTTTTGCCGGTTGATAATGTGGGTGTGATCCCTGCGAAACGTCCCGGGTATCTTATTTTATTTTATGTGTTTCCTTTTATTATTTGCTGCCTTAGTCCCGTTTTAAGTTGTTTCTCTGTTCTTGAAAACCAAAATAAACATCAAAATATTAATTTTCTAAAAATAATAAAAAAACCTAACTAGTAAAAACAAAACTGAGCTTTGTGCTTCATATTTTCATAGCAATCTCCAAAAGTAACTCCTCAACCGATCGCGCCGCGACCTCGGATATGCTTTAGAACTTTTTCGAATATTTCATTTCGATTTTGTAACTTTGCTCAACGCAGATTGGCCGTTACACCTGACGAGCGGCCGAGCGGCGCGTGGCGGGAAATCTGCGCGGACAGAGAAAATGAATGCAGCATTTTTCCGTATACTCTTGGATGCGAGTTGAGTGACCTCTCCTGGAATGAATTATTCATAGTTTCCATAAACGCAGCTTCGTGCCTCGTGAACCTCGTAAAAATCCGAGAAATATTTCATTATTTTCAATATTTCCCGCCTCCTGATCAACGAGAGCTCTGCCAATCGCGTATTGACCGCGCTTCACTCTGATTGGTCGTTGCACTGCACGAGCGACGCGCGGCGGGGAATCTGCGCAACTCGTGAAAATTAATGCAGCATTTCTCGTTATTTTGGTACTTTTTCGTACTACTGAAATGAATTGTTCATAGTTCATAGTAGACTTGCATACAATGGAAGTAACGAATTTGAAACCGGTTTTTATACTTGTATTGAGTTCCATATCAAATTTTCTTGAAAGGACGTACATTAGGGAATTGACCCCAAACATTTTAAGAAAATCCCAAATATTTTGCTTCAAAGAACAAGTTTATTGAATTTACCATGACTCTCAGAGTCAGTAGACCTGCCGCTGCCCCCCTTCCGAGTACGAAAAAATAGGTCCTGTACGATTTACTTTTTCAATCCAAATTTTTTCTTTAATAGTGTAACGGGCTGGTCTTGGGCTCGAATGTGGTCCTTATGAATCCTCTGAAACTTGTATGTTTTAAACGTATTGAATAGATCAATTACGAAGTATGGAATAAAGCATGAAACATCTTGATCGAAAAACAAAGCTTATTTTTATTTTTCTCATAACAATAAAAAGAAAAAAAAATGGACGCATTCATTCAAAAGAAGTCCATCGGCGTCCGATAGAGAGCACAATTTTTGTAATCCGTCAATGGAATTGGTCGAAGGCTGACAGCACTACCCAGGGCCGGATTAAGGGGGTGGCCACATGGGCCGCGGCCCATGGCGGCAAATTTTGCAATTTTCTTAAATGTAATAAGTATAAAAAAATCGGATTCGGAAAAAAAATTATCCATGAGAAAAGGGGACGAAATCTATCTTTTCTGAGAGTATAGTAATTTCTAATTTTGTCGTTTTTCGGTGATACCAGAAATAGCATCTTTAATTAGTAGAGTGAAGAGAGGAACTAAACACGCAATTTGGCCTGGAGCTCAGCGCAGAGAGGAATGATGACGAGGACTTGAGATGAAAAAGACATGCCCTCGGCGCGGCGATCGGCATGTAACACATATTAGCGCCTACAAGACTTAATGAATACTTCACCCATTACGCCAAACACAGTGCGGTCGGGAGCGGTTGGCGTGACACGTACAGCGCCTACACCCTACAAGACTGCTGGAATACTTCACGCATTGCGCCAAACACACTGCGATCAGCGCGGCGCAGCGGCGGAAGTTAAAATTATTAAACCACATTTATGTTTGTTCTTTCATAATTTTTTGGTTCATTTCTTATAAATGGAGAACCCTCTCCACATAGAGATAGGTTTACGGAACTTAACTTTCGCGCAGAGTTCCGTGGGATTTTGCTAGTAGTGTTGACAGGGCTTCCGCAAAAAATATATCCAACACGAGTAGGTAAACGTGTCTCATGCATCCCTCCCCCTACGGCACGTTCACTTGATGGTTTTTATTGATGTTTCAAAACGAATGAAAAGGGGAAGGCAAAATACAGGCGGCCCATGGGCGGCAAGTAGGTAAATCCGGCTCTGGCACTACCATGCTATTGTCGGATAAATTAAAATACTTGACTCTGGTTGTTTTATCAGATTCCGCCGCATGCCGATCATGGTCGTGAACCAGTTGCAGAAAGAGGTTTTCGACTTCTCGCTTGATCCCCTAAGTTCATCCCAAATTCCTTAAGTTTGTCCTGGTATTTCCGGGTTCCCTCAAATTCCCAAAACCCTTTGATTTAGTTGCTCATTTCTTCTTCTTCTTTTCAATTTGAATAAAGATTCGAAGCGCTCATCTACTTTCGTGCACCGACGACGTATGAAAGCAATTTGTGAGGTGTATGTCTGTGCTGCATACACGAAAAATTGCAGGCGCTCTGGTTTTCTGCCTAGTCACATGTTCGTTTCTCTAGGGTTATCTACGTTGCATTTACAAAGAAATTCTGATTAGTCGTGTAGCATCATGGCAGCGTTGCGAAATGGTGCAATTCTCCGCAAATCATCTGCCGAAAACAAAAAAATATGGCATAAATGCATTGTGGATGTCAAGCCCGCAGGTCACGACCAATAAAATTCCTGCAACTTACACCTCGCATTCAGAATTGTTTGTGATTAGAACTTTTATCGAAGACCATACCCAAAAACACTGAAAAGCCAGGAATAAGTCGGGGATTTTTATGATCAAAATATCCCGAAAGTCGGCGGAATTTTTAAATCCCAGAATTCTTGTCACCTTGCGGGCGAAAATAGCGATGATCAAGATAGTCGTGATTCCTATCGTTTTTGCTGATAACGGTCCCGCTAACTACTCTCTTTGGCAACTCTGTCGCATGGGAAGATAGTAGAATTAATAGGATACCTACAATTTTTCATATGTCCAAGTAAATAAAATAAGATTCGGAAAAAGGATAAATGTGTATTAGCCGATAACGTCAGTCCAGTGCCTAATTGCTGCACGAATATTCTTCATTTTACATAATTATAAATTCATTTTTAATTTATTTATCTCTTTTTTTCAACCTCATTAATTATCCAAAGCGCCCTATTTTTGTGCAACAACGACGAATGAATCCAATGAGTGACATATTTAGCTATCACAAGCGAAGAAAATTGACGCCGCTCTGGCTTTTCAATGGGTAGGCGTGGATGCAACTATTCGTGTTTGCGAGATGCCTTTGTTGCCTACACGAGACATTGCAGGCGTTTTGGTTTTCTTCGTCACAATTTATGGCTGCGGCTTTTGGTTCGGTATGATTTTCTACGCTTTATTTTATTTACAAGCGTGTTTACCATGAAATCCTCGAAAATCGGATGGGTCCTGTAGCACTATGTGTTGCGTTTGCGCAGCGTTGCAATTTGGTGCAAATTGCGGAAAGCAACGTCCGCAGCCGTGCATTGTGATTTGTGATCAAGAAAACCGGTGGGCCTGCAATTTTTCGTGTATGCAATACGGACGCCTCGAGAACACAAATAGTTACCTACGTGTGGATGCCACGTAGTCATCGAAAAAGCCGGAGCGGCTTCCGTTTTTCCTCTTGTGATAACAAAATCTGCCACTCATATTGCTTCTATACGTCATCGATGGAGCGCTTTGAATACTTAAACAAATTGAAAAGAAAAAGAAATGAGATAACTAGATTAGGGGTTGTACGCATCTGGAAAACCAGGGAAACTCAGAAGGTATAAAATGACCTTGAAATATCAGGACATAAATTCTTAGAGTTTGGGGCGCACTCAGGAAATCGATCGTGAGATAATTTTCCTTCAACCGGCACACGGCCGTAATCGGTGGTAAATCGACGGTGTAAGTCGGCAATCACATAACTCGGTTTGCGACGTCGCAGACTTCCTGTCATACTTTATTCTTTGAACGGAAAACTACTCAACGGCAATTCTTTGAAACTGCCGTGATTTTTCTTCTCTGTGCGAAGAAAATTCTGCATAAATTTCAAAGAATGATGTGAATTTGTTCTCTTTTAAAAAAATAATATAGAGGCGGAGATTTTCAGATACCGCAAACGAGTTATGTGATTGCCGACTTAAACCGTCGAAATACAACGAACCAACCTGAGCAGGGCCGGATTTACCTATGCTTGCCCCATGGGCCGTCTGTATTTTGCCGCCCCCTTCTCATTCGTTTTGAAATACCAATAAAAACCATCAAGTAAGCGTGCCAGC